TGCCGCTTTAAACATTAGATTAGAACACTCAAGTCAAGGTTTAAGCTATCTATCATAGGAATGGGATAGCTCTAAAAGCCTCATTGTAGCCATATTTTCTAGAACTGATTCCAGGCTATTGCCTGTCCCTTTAAAAAAATTGTTTTTATTTAATTGTTCACCACCGGCTGGGCCAACATTTATCGCCCATCCCTAATTGCCCTTGAGAAGTTAGTGATGAGCTGCATTCTGCATTGCTGTGGTTCCTAATTGCTGTTAGAAAGGAAGTGCCAGGATTTTGACCCAGGAATGGTAATATAGTTCCACGTCAGATGGTGGTCAGATTGGAGGGCAATATGCAGGTAGTGATGATCCCATGCATATGCTGTTCTTATCTTTCCAAGTGATAGAAGTCATGGGTAAGTGGAATATTCTCAAAGCACATAAAAACATGCATTCAGTTTTCATTAATGCACCATGGAATTATAGCATAGTATGACACAGAAAATCAATTGGTCCATTGTGCTTTGGCAGAGTTTTTCAATTCACCCGATTCCCCTGCTTTTTCCCTATATTTCCTGTGACCATACTTCTCGTACAATTGGTGCCGACAGACTCAGACTCAGGGTGATTGAATTCCTTTAGTACTCGTGAACACCTAACACGTCATTATACTCTCAATGACGACATTCAACAATTCCTTAGTCCCATTTCCAACTGATGAATGCATTCAGTAATGCAATAAAAAAAAAGAAAACAGGAAATGTTAGAAATTCACAAGAGCCTCAGGGAGATAGAGACAGATGAATTTATCAGATAAAAGTCTAAAATGAAATGTCAACCTGTCTTAATATTTACACACTGATGAATCCATGATGTATTTTCAATATTTTCTAAACTTATTGTCCTTGGCCTTAAAATTATTCTATAGGATAATAGAAAAAATTCTCTCTCTGCCATTTTACCAGTGGCATTACCTGTTTAAAGAAATCAAATAACTCCCCCTAAAATAGGAAAGCGTAGATTTCAAAATGTGTTCAGCCCTTTCCCACTATTGTCTTTTGTCATAATTTCTTGGCCATTGTGTCCAGTCAATTCTTGAAACCTTTTTTGTCTGCAACCCTTATGTCTTACTTCTTCCTCCAGTTAGTTATTTGTTATCTTTGCTTTCATCTGTAACACTTGCATTCTGTGCCATACTATATTAAAGTGTACTGTATCTAGCTAAAGACAATTCAAAGCAGTTGTCAGATTGTTCTGAAATTATTTTTGTACAGAAGTGAGAAATTAACCCAGCTTGATATGTAGATGGCTATACCTTTTGGTGTACTTAACATGGCTATAGATGAAGCGCCCTTTTCTGCACACCCCATAGACACACTCATTCATTCAATATAGTTTAATTTTTATTTATTAAATTTGCCTTATGTATGCAACAGACCACAAACAGATTCTTGCATTTCACCTTCTCACTTCCATAGCAATCATATAGTTAACTACAACGTGATTCTGTTATGAATCCACTTTGTCAGTGATTACTGTGTACCAGTTCCATGGCTTAAATTCTATCTTGTGACTCACAGTATTAGGAAGCTTGATATTAATTGACCTTTACTCACTGTTCTTAAAGGTGTCTCTTTTGGCTCGGTGATGGCCCCTGAGTCAGAAGTTAAGAGAGTTCAAGCCCCCTCTATGACATTTCACCACATAGGCTAACACTTAATTGGAGTTTTGTATTGTCAGAGGTTTAATTTTTGGTTGAGAAGTTAGACAAAGATCCCTTATGCTCTCTCATATGGAAACAGAATGGCTGAACACTAGGAAGCTCAGAGGAACAGAAGTATCTTGGGGTGTTTGTCTATAGGTCCCTGAACGTGGCAGAACAGATTAATTGGGTAGTTAAGAAGATGTGCAGGACACTTGCCTTTATCAGTTGTGACATTGATTATAAGGGCAGGGACATCATGTTGGAGCTGTACAAAACTTTGGTTAGACCATAACTGGAATATTGTGCAGTTGTTGTCATCACACCATAGGAAGGATATGATTGCACTGGAGGGATTGCGAAGGAGATTCACCAAGATGATGCCTGGGATGGAGCATTTAGTTATGAGGAGAGGTTGTTTCCTTTGGAGCAGAGAAAGTTGAAGGGGTTGTAAGATTATGACATGAACAGAGTGAATACATAACTGCTATTCTTCTTAGTGAAGGGTCAATAACAAGGCGGCATAATGTTAAAGTGAAAGGCAGGAAGTTTAGAGAGGATTTGAGGAAAATCTTTATCACCCAGAGGGTGGTGGGAGTCTGAAATCCATTTCCTGGGAGGGCAGTTGAGTGAGAAACCTCACAAGTTTTAAAAAGTTCTTGGATGAGCATCTGGAGCGTCAAAACATTCAAGGCTGTGTACCTAATTGGGGAAAGTGAGACTAGTGGAGGTATTAGTTAACTTTTCGTGGTACTGACGTGTTGGACTGAAGGGTCTCTTCTGTTCTATATGATTCCATGATTCTAAAGTAGTGGTATGGGGTTTTCACTATTGCCATGGCCAGTGTATATCCCTCAACAACAATAACGAAGAATTCTGCTATATTTACATTCACTGCCAAGCCGTCCTCCTCCTATATACTTCCAAATTGTATTAATTCTCTCTTGGTGCCACACTAGCATTGTCAACTCTGATTGGACATATTCATGGAGGTGTCATCTGCTCCCAATGGGCCATTCCACTATATTTTAATCATTGGTCCCCTGTTGTGCCTATTTGGGCCAATTAGAAACTGAACAGAAATCTCTTTACACAAATGGATGATTTCTTGATTGTCAAATGGCACTTTTTTCTATGTCCAAAATTTGTACAACTGGAAACAAGAATATTTAAAGAGGATTGAACAAATTGGCATGAAGTCAACTTTTAATTCCTTGGGACTTATCTTCTACCCAGAAAGCTCCTCCCGGAGCATAAAACAACGATCCTCGGATGCTGGAAATCTGAAACACAAACAGAAATTATGGAGAAACTCAGCAGGTCTGGCAACATGTGCGGAGAGAAAGCAGAGTTAACTTTTTGTGTCCAGTGACCCTTCTTCAGAACTTCGAAGCTTCAAAACAGTGTTCAACTTTCCACTTCCCAGCAGTTCTACAGCACTGACACATCACTCCCAATATTCCCAAGCCCTTGTATGTCACTTTTACAACTTGTACCACCCGCTTTTTAAAAATCATAATCATCTCCTCACACCACATGCCAACATTCCTTAGCTAATCGCACAATCTACCACACCCTCCAACTGTTTCTACACCCCCTGATTATCATTCTAACGTGATCAAATCACTCCCATCTAGAATCATAGAATCCCTACAGTGTGGAAGAGGACATTAGCCCCATCAAGTCACACCAACCCTTCAAACAGCATCCCACCCAGACACAGAACCCTATCCTATCCCTGTAACCCTGCACCAATTGTGGCCAATCCACTTAGCTTGCACATCCCTGGATGCAATGGGTAATTTAGCATGACCAATCCACCTAACCTGCACATCTTTCGACTGTTGGAGAAAACCGGAGCACCCGGAGGAAACCCACGCAGACACGGGGAGAACGTGCAAACTCCACACACAGTCCCCTGGGGGTGGAATCAAACTCAGGTCCCTGGCACCATGAGGCAGTAATGCTAACCACTGAGCCACCGTGCCGTCCATCTATTTCCTTGTGCATTCCTTTTATAAATGCCAGTTTCCTCTGCAGCATCTTCCTGACTCCCTTGAAGTCTTCCCACAATTTACAAGGCGCAAACCAGGAGTATGATGGATAACTCTCTATTTGCCTGGATGGTGGAGCTCAAACACTAAAGAAGCTTGAGAATGGTGCTGCTTGACTGCTATTCCATCTATAAGATGTACAACAGTAAATTACTGAAGCCTTGATAATTGTATGGTTTAAAACAGAGTATCCTCTAGTTTATGGAGCACATGCACACTGCAAAGGGCTTATTTTATGTAATGTATTCTTACTAACATTTGAGATCAGTAGAAGATCATTCAGCCCCTCATGTTCTGCCATTTATTAAGATTATAGGTGCCCTGTATTTTAATTCCATCTATCCCCCAATTTGCAATTCAATCTGTACCAGTGATTAGGTAGAATATAGGAATGCAATTCTTTATTTAAGAGATAATAGAACTGGGGCAGGCACAAAGGGCTAAGTGGCTTCCTTAAAAATTCTGTAATTATGAGATACTAGAATATATTGAGATTTTATTTTATACATATAAAAATTCTTCTTTCTTGAACAATATATAGCTACGATAAGGACGGGTCATTTCCAAGTAGACATAATTCAATCAATAAAATGGGCATCCTATGAATTTGATTCCTAACATACCAAAAGGTACAGTTGTGTGCATCACCCTATCTTGGGATACCACAGAATAATATTAGCTTGGCCATCAAGGAGTTAAAAATGATTTTCTGGTAATGGATTACCTGGCACATAGGAAATGAAGAGAGTGAATAATCAATTCAAAGTACTTCTTAGTCGAAGACAAAGGTTTGTAAAAGGAAAGCCTTGTTGGGTTTTGATGAATCAGTTTTGAAATTAAGACATTGCAGAGATTTAAGCACCACGGAAATATTTAGTCGACTGATATATATTTGTCTTGCGCTTTTAACATCGTAGGTGAGTATTACAAACAAACCTAGTATGAAATGATTAAGAGCAAGGAATTTTATTAAGTTCCTTGTTGTTTCTAGGTTCAGAGCGTATGTCATTTTCTTTGGGGAAAATCCAGTGATAACATACTGCTTCTCAAAGGTGTTGGGACACCGTTCAGGGTTGTAATTTATGGTAAGAGAAACAAATTGCTGCTGTTCAGTGCATCATGCTTTTTTTGACTGTTGATTTTAGCTATTAGTCGTCATCACTGCCGGTTTACTGCAGTGGCTGTCATTGGCCAGCTGTTTGGCCCCGGTCCATTGAGCAGATCATATAAAAGCCCTGTTACTGCTGACAGCTGCATCAGAACCCAAAAACAAAAAGAAGCACTGCTTAACAACTGACACTAGACAGCAAAGTCTGAAAAATAGCAACATGTGCAAAGGACTAGCCGCCCTGCCAGCTACTTGCCTAAGAAGGTATGTCTTTAACTATACGGTTTTCAGATCTCTTTTTGTGCTTCTATTTCCAGCAATGTTACTTAACATTTTGTTTCAAGAAATACAACTTGAATGAGTGTGATGTGTGTGTATTTCATGAACTTTAAATGACCGAGCAAGTAGATTTTAAAAGAGAAAGAAACGGGGAAGTTTGCGACAGGGTTGTTGGAATTAGCAATTCACCATATATATGAAAAGGACACAAAGAGCTGAATGGTGCTGAGACCTGCTCAGTTTCTTTCAGTTTGCTGTAAAAAGATCAATTTTAAAAAGAAGGGAATTCAGATCAAAAAGGTTTTGGTCATCACAATTTGTATATCATAGCTATTATTGCCGTGACTGCTCATGTTATATAAGAGTGTGGAGTATTTTTTTGGAACACCTTTTATTACTCTTGCCTGCTGCAATATTGTTTAATTTCATGAATTTGTTACCGGTTCCTTGAAAGCTTGAATGTAATGGATGAAAATAATCAATGTAAGAAAATTATTTCTGCATTGACTTTGATTTAGGGTTTAATAAAGGGCTGGCATTAACAGTAATAAAAGCCCCAAACCATGGAAATTAAAAAAAACTGATCTTTCCTGGAATAGTTTTTATTCCCTGATAGTCAAAGCTATCACCACTTGATTCAGTTACTCCTCCCGGCAATAGCCCCTGTATGGGTCTGGCAATTTCTTATAAAGTGCTGCTCCATGTTGTTCTTTAAAAATAAACTGACAGCTGAAAAAAATTGTGTCTTATATTGTAGCCAAAACTATTGTTTCAATAGGTATAGCATATACTATATGTTCATTAGAAAGCTTTATCACTGGTATATTTACTTATGCATGGTACTTAGTTGAGTTTGCGTAGCAGTTCAGTGTCAGGACTGTGAGATATTTGTAATCTATGTATACTAGGCATCCTTTTCTTAATCACATTTATGTTGATTCTGAACAGTGCAAAGGACATGAAACATCGTCTGGGCTTCTTGTTGCCAAAGGCAGAGACATTGAGTGATCACAGTTCAACGTTCATCAAGAAGGACAAAACAGGTGACACACACAGGTAATTTCCTCCTTGAAACCAGCTCAGACAACGTGCAATGCCCAGCTTTGAAATATTCCTTATCATGAGATCCGTAGATGCAATAGGCAAATGAAATTAATCTGTCCATTATTTTCGTTTCTTGCTTCCAACACAAGATGTGTTGTGAATCCCTGCTAACTTCAGTGATGACGAGCAAGCCTTTTGGATCATGCATTATTCATTTTTGTCATCTCCTTTGATCTCCCTTAGCCAGCTGTTAACCGTAGTTGCAAATCCACCCTCGAGCCCCAGTCAAAAGATTAATCATTCACAAATTCCTGCCAGCAGAAAGAGTCAATATTAAAATATCAGGTAGAATTGATTTTATTCACGTTACCGAAAGCTTGTAAGTCAGAACAAGAAAAAAATTCAGTGGACAGGATGGAGTGGAACTTGACTTTATTCTTACCTACACTTCCTCCTCCAACATCAATTGCCTAGTTCACTGGATGACAGCACATCTCTTACATATAGGGTCATGTTTTCCTACGTGTTAATTGGCATATTATCAGTTTAAGAGCGATATCACCTTAAAACAAACTCAACATGCAGATAAGGCAGAAACCTGGATATCATCACATGACCAGAGATAACGCAGTGTGGTGCTGGAGGAACATAGCAGGCCAGGCAGCATCAGAGGAGCGGGAAAGTTGACATTTCGGATTAGGACCAGATGCTTTTGTCACTTTCCATCATAGCAGCCTAGACAAAGGATGCATCTAGCGATTACTCTGTACTATTTGCAATAATTAGTACACTCCTGATCCTGCTGTTACTGTCTACCTGCTCATTTACCTGTCTCATAGTGCTGTTTGAACCAATACCACCAATTATTCAACAAGTGAAAAAAGTCGTATTTTCCATCTTCTGTGATGTGAAGGTGCTAGTGTTAGACTGGGGTGGACAAAATCAGAAGTCACATGACATCAGATTATAGTCCAACAGGTTCATTTGAATCACAAGCTATCGTAGCGCTGCTCCTTCGTCAGGTGACTTAACGCTTGTAATTTCAAATGAACCTGTTGGGCTATAACCTGATGTTGTGTGGCTTCTGACTTTGACCATCTTGTGTCACCTTCTTACAAAGTGAAGGTAAGAGTTCACTGGTACCTCACCGAACTGGACATTTGTTGCCTGAGGCCAGATAATGAATGTTTTGCTGCCACCTCAACCAGAGCAGAAAGAGGGTAACTAATGCGAGAGCGACATTTTTCCAATTGTTGATTATTCTTTTTCTTCGCTGTTCTAAGTATCAATGCTGCCCCAGATACCCCGATGGTAAAATATTACACTAGTTCCTGGACCCAACACAATGGAGACCTAATCTTAATGCTACATTAAACATTTCAACTCCTGGGATCTGGATGGCTATTAACACAACAAGCCTTTAAAAGAGTGATTTACATATTGAATTTTGTTGCAAATTGACAAGTTCTTACTAGAATGGTTACTGAAAAAAGATGTGACATCCATTTTCTATGTGCTAAAGAACATATCCATTTCTGGTCTTCAAGGAAGGTGGAGGGGTCTGGGGTCTAGCTAACACTGAACTTGCATTCACCTTCAATGGTGAGCACTCCTACTTGGCCTCAGCATTACTCTTACAAGGGCGGAGTACAGAAGCAGTTTGGTTTTCACCCTGGGTTTACTTGACCTTCCAACCAACTATATGTGGAAAGATTAGTGGAAAGGGAGGTGGATTAGGATGGGAAGCAGTGTGCATGCATGCCCAGCTCATTCCCAATCTCTGAGTTTGCACTCATTCTCTCTCCCGCCCCCGCACCCGCACCCCCCAAATGACGATCCCCCTACAACACCTATACTTCATACATTCTCCCTTACACACAAAATCCCTCCCCACTCTCTCACTCTTCCATCACCCACATACACTGTCCTCCTCCACCTCACACTCTCCCCAGCCCCCATCAGCAACAATCATAAGAGAGATGGCCTGTGATTAGAGGAATAGTTCTGTTTAGACCTGTCACTTGTATTACGAACACTGGCCTGCTGGCCACATGAAGACACATGGCGGGAGAAATTCTGGCCCAACAGGGCATATGTTGGACAAGTCAACAATTTAAGCAATGGGCTCAGGTTTATCTTACACAACCACCTCATCAGCACTCACCACTTGAAGATAATCACAGTCAATTCTGTGAAAAGATTTTGTTTATTTAAATAAATGAAACATTTTGTCCCTAATGGATATATTTTCTTTTTCTTTGTCTGAATAGACTCCATTATGAAGAAGTGAAAGAATGGAGTGAATCTTTGCTACAACTAATATCTCATAAACGTAAGTAGTTATTTAAAAAAAATCATGCTCGATTCATTCAGTTATCAATAGTCAGTGTTAGAGAATTAGCTTCAAAACAAAGCCAAATCCTAGCAACCAGAAGCACTTAGATGGATATATAAGCCATCAGGTTCTGAACCATTATCAGCAAAGTCCTAATAACTTGTGATTAATCCAGTCATTAATTTCTGTGATGGTTAATATTGCACAACACAAAACTTTTGTGAAATCAATGGCCTTTGCTAAAAGCCATAATTTATTCTCTAAAGCTGCTCTCGAGTAATTACCCAGAATCCTAAAATGGCATGCAGATATTAAAAATGAATTGTCATTTTTGAGAGCCGTAATTAAAAAGTTATCATTACTAAAAAAAACTCAAACTGTTTGTAATTAGTAATAATAAAAGTGATCCAATTTCCTCATATGATTGTCAAAGTTAGAGTGTAAAATTAATTGTCCTCTTTCAGTGAAGCTTCTAACTACTGCTTTTAAAGTACTTTACTGACACATATTGGGGCTGTTGACTTATTCCACTGAGATTGTTGAGGTCACTCATTGGAGTGATTGATGCGTTTGAGAGAGATTGCTGAGGTATTCCACTGAGGTTATTGAAGTACCTCATCAATGATCTTACGAGGATTATTGAGATATTCAGTAGCATGTGGATCCAAGTGGTTGCTTAGAAACCCAATTTGCATTCAAAAACATGACAAAACCAGCAGACTAACATAATTGCATTTCCCTTGTGTAATTCTGTTTACTTAGACAACAAGCTATATTAATCTGCCAGCACATGCTTATAATAAGTTGGGTCAACTTATATCACCACAGAGGATGAAGTCCAAAAATAGCCTTGAGAAAAAAGAATTCAGTTTCTCAACGTTGAGATTCTGTGCCCAAGTGTTCATTCATATTGTCAGTAAATCTGTCACTGGTTCTTGACCCCAAGTTAACAGCTTAATTGCAGAGAGGAAAGGACTCTGATGGGAAATACATGTTTAAAAGCTCCTGTCGAAATACATGCTTAAAAGATCCTCTCCAGTACCCTTCCAAAATGGCAGGGCGTGAGCTAAATTCAAGGGAGTAGGGCTGAAACGATAGTAGGGAAGGTGTCAGGAGACTGCCAGCTGCCATTCCATATTGTCAGTAGTGGCCAATTGAGCCACCTAAAGGCCACTTCCTGGCCCTAACCATTTTGCCCATATCAGGGGCATTTGCCATCAGGTGGGAAGCCTGTCAGATAAACCCTGGCAATCTTACAGTGGTCTCACAGGATTGTTTCTCCATGATGGAAGTTCCCTGTCCTACAGAAGGGCCCCCTGGGGTGCAAGTGGCCACCTTGGTCCTAACATGCCAAATATGCACCATAACACAACTGTCTGGTTTCCCCAAAGAAATCAATAAATCCTTGTGGGTGCCCTCTCCTTGGATGATGTAATTCCAGGAATGACCATTGCTAGTGGTGGTGCTCTAGGGGATTGACCATCATCCTCA